ATTACTTAATTAAGAAATAATTCGTTAATAAAAATCGATTTTATTTATTAAAATTGATTACTTTACCAAAATCGATTATCATTACAAAATCGATTATCATAACCGATTAATCGATTTTTAGTTATTTTAAAATATCCGATTTTCGATAATCGATTCCCATCCCTAATACAGACTCTTCTCCTCTAACTTATAGTCCAGTTCCTAACACTAACATGAGGAATTTTTGCTGTGCCACAAACCCAACACACATTAAAATTGTGCAATAACTTTTGTATTTGGCTCGGTTTAATCTTATCGCAGAACTTAGATATAATAAATTTATAAGTATCCATACTGGAAGGACACAGGTTTATGTAATGAATGATACGAGAGCACATAATAATCCGTGGACTCATTTCACAAACAATGTTTCCAGTTAAGGTATGAGTGAGGCTATAAGAAATTTGCCAAGGAGATGATTGTAATTAAAAGTAGATGAACATTTATGAAATCAGATAAATATTTTAAAATATTACAGCTTTAAATAAAAAATTACATCTTATTATAAATTTGAATTTTGTGTACTACTGTATTAACCAGCGTGGTAGTATATGAAAGTTGCGGTAAACGCTGCAGAATAAATATAACCATCCGGGTACCTGGTCTTACCTAATAATTGCAAAATATCATAAGATGTCGTAAATAAAATAATAATAATGCCTAATATTATTCTTAATTCTTTTAACTTACATTCCGTACTTGGTGGTGCTGCTCCACCCTTAACATCTGTAAGAATGGCATAGGTAAGATCCGAAAATGCCCCCTTTCCTGAGGTTTTCTGTTTAATTTTTGATATTAGTTTTAATCAAGAGTTATTGAAACATTTATAATATAATTGTGATAATTACATTAACAAAAATAAGTTCATAAACAGAATTTTTTGTTGGATCTAATGATGGTGCAGTACCAATTTCAGTTACAGTCATTGTTGAAGTATCATTTGGAATAGTTGATCTAATAGTAATTTCACTACCTAAATTATTACAGCAATGAAATAATTATGATTAAAATCTGAATGATGACATTCTCTATCTAACGAGCTTCGTTTTTATCAATGAATACACTCTCATTCTAACGGATTGATCGGACTGAGAAGATCAAACCATTATAGTGAATATCCGCTATAGAAATATATAGCACAATTACATTTGGAGTTTACCTTAAAAATGACGTTATAGGCCATAGTAGCTACCATGCCCATAAGGTCATTTATTTTAAATTGTTCTAAAGAATTACTCAGCTATAACGGAAGATCCACTTTAATGGATCCGCTATAATGAGGATAGAGTGTAGTCGAATTTTGATCAAAAATTTTGATTGATATATGATTATTCAAAATTTGTTGAATTTAGATCAACTATGAGTAGTAACGCAATGCAGATTTAATTCTGTTCAAAATTATAATTTCAACCGAATCTACTCGTAAATGGTTCAAAGTATTAAAAAATAAAAAAATAAACCATTTTTTAATTATTACGTGCCGAAATCCAATATAGCCACAGCTGAAAAGGGATAGTGGAGGAGGTCTTCTTTGTGGTTAAAATACACGTTGCGGACTTGAACTAATAATTACAAAGCTTAAACTACAAGTCGTAATATATCAAAATAAGTATCAAAATCAGTACATATGTACTTACCAAGACTCCAATTACTAGCACAATTACATTTATACCAGAAAAATCCACCAGAATATAACTTAAATTTAAAAACATTTCCGGCTGGAATAGTGAAATTTCTCGGAATATAGACACCATATGGATACTCTTAATTTATAGCCCGAAATATTTATAGTTATTAAGAGTAATGGGTATTAGATAGTGTTAATAATCATCGATAGGATTTACCATAATTTCCGATCGATGTGGGAACTTTACGCAGCATAACACCGTTAAAAAAACCAATGCTAAGCAAAAAAACAATTAATCCTAAAAATGACCCTAGTTTAACCATCTTGGTAATAAGCAATGTATGTTCATATATCTATCTATAAAATTGATGATAAAAAAATAAATATAAAATAGATAAATGACATTCATAGAAAAAGATTAATAGAAAATTTGGGGTTAACAAAAGATAGTATTTAACACTCATTTACTCTACCTTTCAATACGAAGGCAAATCTTTTTACAAGTCAGAATATTTATTTAACAACCTCGAGAATCTATCGTTTATATATATATGTTGCATCATCTAAAGTAGCGATTTATAAAGTAGCGCCTGGCTAAAATTAAGCCCCTTAAATTAGATCTTCATACATGCATTAAGCTATAATTTTAGCCAGGGCGATATTTTAGATATATAAAGTAGCTACTTTAGATAAATCGTTCAGATGCGACATGCAGAGTTACTTTTCAACGCAAGATTCCCCGATCACTATATCAAGATCACGAGAGGATTAATTAATAATACCCTGACCGTATGTGAATAAGCGGAAACGAAATGTCCGTTAATTCCCAACAGATCAGGATATTATTATTACAAATTTAGTTTCAGGAATTGCATTGAGTTATATGATCCCCTGTACAACATAAAGTGATAAACGTGATAATAATCACTGCCAAATAATATATTAATAATAGATTGACAAAACGTGAGACTTCAATCATGTAAACTTTTAGTTATATGTAAGCTATACATTATGCATCATTACTTATTCATGAGCCATTACCATAATCCATTGATCCATTGGGTTTGTATGCCCAGTTTACAATAATGGCCAAATTAGCTAAACTAGTCTAGCCGATAAATGTTAAATAGTCAGGGTCACTATACATACGTACTATATCTTCCTAAAATCTACTCACACTTCTAGAATTATTTACAGTACATTAACTATCATATTTAAAAAAAAAAATAAATAAAAAGTTTATGAATTACCATTTTGAGGCATCGAGCAGCTATGCTATAAAGAATTTGTGTAGTGCTCTCTAACCTTTATTCGCTAGTACTACTGTATATAAAAAGCCGTAATTGACTTCCAATAGTAATTTGATTATGCTTTCGAAAGCTTAGATAACAAGGTTTTTGAAAAGCATGGCCATTTTATATGAAGCACTGTCGCGAAGCAATGAGTGGCTATATATTAATATAAAATAGCTATTTTAAAAACTCTATAAGTTACTTAACCTACTTGTCATTGGTCCATTGGAGCAGTGACCGATCAATAGAATCAATGGATCTGGCGTTACTGTGTTACTACCTGAGTAGAGCCCCTAAATTTCAGCTGCCGAATTTACGCTCTAGACCGTAAGCTAGAATAATTTCCTTCTAAGGAAGTGAATGAGGTGCTTAAGAAGTGAGAGAACGCGAGATTTATGAATTTACAATTATTTAAATTGTTTTTAATTACTAAATATGCAATGTTTATGCAGGTAACCATATCTTAATCAGAATTTTACTGGTTTATACAGGAACTTTCATATGTTCATTATTATATGTAGATCGTCAGAATTTTTACCAAGTTGTGAACTCTTTTAATCATTGAAAATCAAAGATGGTAAATGTCTTGTTTGTTTGATCAAAATTCAAATGACTTCAGTCACCAATTAATGACCAGTTATCGGCATTTGTATCATTTATTACGTGAAATAAATTTTTATAGTTAAAATTAAGTTACACTGAAACGATTATGCGTTACAATGTTCAAAGAAAACTTTATTAGAGCGAATTAGGTCTCTTATTTATTATTACTTTTATGGGGGTCCAGAATCTTTTTTTTTTTTGCTCTACAATAGCAAAGCTTTTATACATCTTTATTGACAATGTAAATAAGAAGACCAGAATCGAAGAATTGTTCACGCCATTCTCGTTATTTTAGTATTTCCCACCCATTGACACAATTGAGAACATATGCATGGCCGCACACTAATCCTGACAAGGTAATATTACCTTGACAGATGTCAAGCCAAATCGGGAAGGAGGCTTTGCCCAAGATCTACGGCGTAAATGTTCAATAGGGTCTTTGCGCAGGGGGATCATCGTTCGAATTCGTGGTCCTGGGGCATCGTTTGGGGTGTCTAATGCATATCTAGTTACAAACATAGTGCAGGTGCATAGTGAAAATCATAAATCAAATTTTTTTATAATTAAAATTTTTTAGATCTGCACGCAATATTAAAAACTATAGAAAAGCTGCCATCTTTCGCCTTTAATTCCTTCGGCAATATTGATCCCTTTTTAATTTTATAAACACAAACTATTTAATTAAAGGAGTGTTTTACATAGTGACAACGTCAGAATTTTGGGTTGCTAATTAATTAGTTTTTTTTTCATGGGTACGTACATACGAAAAATTGCTATAAAATTTAGTCATGTGAATTTTTAACCAGATCTAATTAAAAACAATATGGGATCTTTGCTATTAAAATCACCCTTCGACATTTCCGAAGAGTGATTTTAATAGTAAAGGTCCCATATGATACGTGAAAAATCGTCATCTTTCATCTTTAATTCCTCATATAATATTAAACATTTTTAATTCAATAAATTTAATTAAAAACAGTGACAATGTTAGAATTTTACACATCATTTAGAAATTAACTAAATCTATTTTATAAATTTATTTTAATAGAGGTCAGTTAGGTTCTAGCTTCAATCAAATAAATATTGTTAAGTATAATGAAGTATATTAAAAAGGTATTTATTAATTTTATAAATACAATATTACTAATATTATTAATATTTGTTTTTTGACTTAAAGAACATAGTAAAGAAGAGTTCAACTTTGAATCAAGATCTTCTTCAAGTTATATTTTTAATAC